AAATATTCTTGGACTTCCTGTCAGGGAAATCCTTTATATAGGTCTTTGATGATGTAATTTAATAAAATTTCCTGAGGGATTTACCTGGATTTATCACTCAACCTGCCCATTCAAATCTTTATGTAGCAGTCATATTTGTAATATCCAAGAGTTCTTTCTTGTTCTTAGATTATTTATCTTAGTTAGTGCACTGTTCTTTTTAAAAGTATTTTATTTTATTTAGTTGAAAGGCAGATTGACAGAGACAGGATGAGACAAACAACCAACAACAAAAAAAGGATCTTCCATCTGTGGTTCACTCTGCAATTGGCTGCACTCAGGCCAAAGTCAGCAGCCAGGAACTCCATTCAGCTCTGCCACATGAGTGGCAGGGTTCAAATGCTTGTGCCATCTTTGATTGACCCTCCTATATCACAATGCTGGCCCCACTCTGCTCTTTTTCAGGGATACAATGTCTTCCCGACACTCTCTGAGGATACCATTAGAAGGCTATTCCCCCGTTTCGTATATCATTTCATGGGGACTGCTGTTGTTTGAGTATGGTTTGTTCCCAAAGACACTCATGCTGGGACTTTGTCCCCAGTGCCATGGTGGTGAGGTGGGGGGACGTTAAGGGATAACTAGGTCATGGGCGCTCCACCGTCCTGGGCTGACTGATGCGGTCTCTGAGAGAGTAGGTTGGTTCTCTCAAGAGCAGATTGCTGGCTGGTGCTGTGGCTCACTAGGCTAATCCTCCGCCTGCGGCGCCAGCACCCCGGGTTCTAGTCCCAGTTGGGGCGCCGGATTCTGTTCCGGCTGCTCCTCTTCCAGGCCAGCTCTCTGCTGTGGCCCGGGAGTGCAGTGGAGGATGGCCCAAGTGCTTGGGTCCTGCACCTGCATGGGAGACCAGGAGGAAGCACCTGGATCCTGGTTTCGAATTGGCGCAGTGCCAACCATAGCGGCCATCTCTCTCTCTCTCACTGTCTAACTCTGCAGATTGCTATAAAACAAGCTGACCCCTGCTTTCCGTCTCTTGGCCCTGTGCTTCTTCTGCAGGAGGCCTTCAGTCAAAGCCAGCAGACTGCCAGAGCTGTGCTCTTGGCTTTCCACCACAGTGAGCCAAATAACCACTTTTCTTCATAAAGTATGCAACGTTAGGTGTTTTGTTACACCAACACAAAACAGCTGAAGACAGTGACCAGACAGGGAGGTGATGTCCTGCCCTGGGACATGCTGGATGAGCCTTTAAAGTCAGAATTCTAAGTTTTCACTCTGGAGTGCCCATATCCATGTGTGCTGCCTGATTTCCATGTCTTTAGAGGTGCATTCTCAGTCTATTCCCTTGGCTGGGGTGACCCGGCTGCCCAGCAGAGTTGTGTGTGTTTGCTGTGTAGAACTGGGCTGAAAGAGACATTTGAAAGAGGGATGTGGGAGGGGGGCTAGATTCTTACAGACTTTCAGTTAGTCCTTGTGTTTTCAGTCCTATCATTTAGTTAGATTCTTATTTCGTGTCTCTTGTCCTTTGAGGCCTGATCCTCACAAGGATTCTGATCAGAGATGGGAAGCTTCCTGACTACAGCACCTTCTTACTCAAGGAAAACCACAGTCTTCTTGTCCACCTTTGTCATCATACTGCCAGCAGGTGTCAGTATCCAAAAATCGGCTGAGATTGCCTAAGCTTTGATACTCTTCCTCTAGTTTGCTGCTGTTGTTGTTGTTGTTATGGAGAGCTTGTCTCTTATTATACTTCTATGATATTCATAGAGATTTTATGGGAGCCAGAGAGCAGAAAGAATCTGTGTCAGTCCACCATCTTTTTTTTTTTTTAATTATTATTTGACAGGTAGAGTTATAGGCAGTGAGAGAGAGAGACAGAGAGAAAGTCTTCCTTCTGTTTGTTCTCTCCCCAAATGGCTACTACGGCTGGTGCTGCGCTGATCCGAAGCCAGGAGCCAGGTGCTTCTTCCTGGTCTCCCATGCAGGTGCAGGGGCCCAAGAACTTGGGCCATGCTCCACTGCACTCCTGGGTCACAGCAGAGAGCTGGACTGGAAGAGGAGTAACCGGGACTAGAACCTGGCGCCCATATGGGATGCCAGTTGTGCAAGGCGGAGGATTAACCAAGTGAGCCACGGCGCCAGCCCCAGTCCACCATCTTGTACTGGAAGTCCAACTACCTTGAGGATTTACTATTTCTGCAAAGAGTACTGCCCCATAGTTGTAAATAACATGCACTTTGAAGAGGTCTTTGATGATGACATCTAAAATTCTGGTGAGAAACCATTTCCTGCTATTGAGGTCACTCAGTCCTTTTAATATCTTCTAGTTTGTTTGATGCTAGATGAAGCAGGGACTAGGGGACACATCAAAGTACAGAGAGATGAGGCAGCACTTACCAGAAGTAGAAGTTTACACAAGTAAGTCACCAAGAGAACTCTCATTTTGCTCCTGGTCAAAATGTACAGTATGTTCTTTTATCATTTCATTCCTCTACAGATTTAATTGACTTTTTTCTTTGTCTTAGTTCATTTGGGCTGCTATAAAAATACCACATATTGAGAGGCTTATAAACAATGGATTTATTTCTCACCGTTGGGAAGGCCGGGAAGTCTAGAGTCAAGACACCAGATTTGGTGTCAGATGAGGAAGCATCTGTACTCTGGTTAATAGATGGTTGTCATCTCCAAGTGTCCTCACATGGTGGAAGGGCTGAGGGCACTCTCAGGGTCTTTTTGATAGGGACACTAATCCCATTCATAAGGGCTCTGCCTTCAATGACCTAATCACCTACTAAAGCTCCACCTGCCACCTAATACCATCACTTTGTGGATTAGGTTTCCACATATGAATGTAGCAGTCACATAAAAATTAAATTTATAGCAATTTTCTTTTGAAATTAATGTAAGGAAAATGACAGGAGTCTGAATGCAGAGACTGAAGTTGTTTTTAAATTGCTATCTATTCCCCAAGGGCAGTAGCCTTTACCAAATAAAACTTTGTTATGTATTTTCTCTTTCTCTGATCCTGAAATGATATTATCTATTTTTAGCACGTGTTTTATTGTCCCTTGGATTGTGAGGTATGGAGTATATTGGGATAAAGGCCATGTTTAATATGTAAGTTTAAAAACTTTTGGAAAAGTGAAACACAAAACGTGCCATATAGAAGATTTCTATTTTGCTTTTGGAAGTGTTTAACCTTTGAAATTAGTGACAGCAGTTTCTTTCTAGGATATCATTTATTATCAGCACATCTTGAAATAAGAAATTCAGTTGAAACTTCTTTAAAGGATGACATTTTTTCTCCTTGAACCTGGTTTTTTTGTAGGGTGGGAGATAAACCTTGTGTTGTCCTGGTCTAAGCAATTCATGCTTACAAAGAAAGATGGAAGGAGTGATCAGCTTTTGTGCCATGTGGGTTTGGTAGGATCCAAAGGTCATGAAATCCTGTTTTATCATTCGGAGGAAGGAGCACATTCATCAAGTATTGAGAAAAAGAAGGTCATATGTTGAGAAAGTCTACTCCTAATGGGATGAATTGTATGACTCTGTAAATCAAGCTGATTGCTGATACTGTCTGCATGCCGATCATAAGTCAGTGCCTCCTCCTGATTGCTTTGAAGCCTGCTCACGCTGTGACTATGTGAAAAATTTTCCATTTGTTTCCATTTCCACCTAGATTCTGGCTAGTTTTATAGCTTAGGTTTTTGAATGTGTGCTAATTTATCTGTGTCTTGGAGATGGAATGAGAATCATTAGATTTGTAGACCTAAACAATGTGTCTTGGTAATGAAGTGAACCAAGCTGAAGCCAGGAGCCAGGAACTCCATCTGTTTCTCCCTTGTGGGTGGCAGAGATTCAAGATTTAAGCCATCATCTGCTTTCTCCAAGGAGCACTGTCTGGGAATTGAATAATAAATAGAGTCGCTGTGATGGGATTTAGGAATTCCAAGCAGTAGCCTAACCCATAGCACCATAACACCTTTCCAAAGACTTATTTAAATCCTTAACTACTTTTTTTTTTTATTTTACAGGTAGAATTATAGACAGAGAGAGAGAGAGAGAGAGAGAGAAAGGTCTTCCTTCTATTGGTTCACTCACCAAATGGCCGCTACGGCTGGAACTGTGCCGATTTGAAGTCAGGAGCCAGGTGCTTCCTCCTGGTCTCCCATGCAGGTGCAGGGACCCAAGCACCTGGGCCATCCTCCACTGCCCTCCCGGGCCACAGCAGAGAGCTGGACTGGAAGAGGAGCAACTGGGACTAGAACCCAGTGCCCGAGTGGGATGCTGGTGCTGCAGGGCAAGGATTAACCAAGTGAGCCACGGCGCTGCCCTGATCCTTAACTACTTTTTACAAACTAATTTGCATCCTCTATTTAGCAGAGTATTACAAATGATAAGGGTAGAAGAAAGGAGGGAAATTTGAGGGAAGATGGAACCTAAAAGAGGTTGATATTACAAAGTGACAGCAGCACCAAACATCCTGAGAACAGCTCTGCAAATGATCTCACTCCTCATGCCTGTAAATAAACTTCTTTGCTTCCAAAACAGGAAAGCCAAGCCAAGCCAAGCACTATTTTATGCATATGTCTTAGAAATGAACACACTGGAAATGTTTAATGATAAATGGGTCAGACTGATGGGACGTGTCTGCTCTGCATCTATTGTGTCCTGATATTGGAATCAAGAAGGGGTTCAGCGACAATAAGAAGGAAGAACAATAAAATTAAGGAAGTGGAGATGACACTTCCTCTTCTTTTGAAAGAGCTTTTTTTTTTTTTTTTTTTTTCTGGTCAGCTTCTAATGGGAGTTCCAAGTAGACTGAACCTCCAGAGCTGTGACTGCTTACAGTGGAATAGTCAACCCTTCCTCAGACTATTATGAATTTTCTGAACTTGGCGCCAAAGAGTCAGTTCCTGGATTTCCTACTGCATGTAAGTAAAAAAAATCACTCCTTGATTGTGTATGAGAAGTCCTTGTTTGGCATATCAGGATGGTACAGGATGGACATTCTATCATTATCTCTAGAATAGTGATTTCTAGAATCTTGGGATTTGGCGTTTGCTCAGCTCTTCATACGCCTGCTGCTGTGAAGTGCAGAGCTGTAGACTTTGAGTTAGAGCTGTGCAGGGTAGACTAGTGGACTCACTTTTCTTCTCTATTTTTCTTAAACAAGTGTACTGGTGGCTACTTGGGCTGCTGACCATGGGTTTAATGCAGAAATGCTTAATTCAACATCTGTTAGGGTCCTATCGTAATAGTTTGTGGCCAGACTCTTTGGAGAAAGTGCGTTTTTATGCGGAGAATGCCTCTTTGCAGGCCAACAACTGGAGGGGATTGTACTTTTAGAAGAAGGTCACAGGCTAGACCAGAAATCTCTGGTATGAAAATGAGAGCAAGTTGTTGGCTCAGAGTCTTTTCCTGTAGCGTCTGTGAAAGAATTGAATTTTAGGAATCAGGTGTAGCCCACTGAAGTACTAGAATTCATTCACCTGTAAGGACCTGTTTCTGGTACTGTCCTAGACATTTTATAGTAACACTTAAAGTCTGATTCCTGTACAGTTATTTATTTTGCATAGAACATGGAAATAGAGCTTTACGTATACATCATGCAAGTGAGGTGGGAAAGGAGTTATGCTCGTGCCTTTGTTGATGTACTCATTCACTATTTTGTCTTTTAATTTTCTTCCTTCCCTCTCTTTATATATCAAGTGTCTTTTTCTGGAGAGGATAAGTCCAAGCATGAATATTTTAAACAAACCACATTAAGCAAGTATGCATCATCAGTGCATGGAAATAGGAAGCCCTTTCCTGCGGTAGCTGGCTGTGGCAATAAGAGATAAGAAATTACTTCATGACTATTGCCTGAAACTTTCCTTTTGACTTGTGTATCCTTCTTGAATGGCTCACTTCTGCTTTCTGTCCAGCTTGAAGGGAAGGCAGTGCGAGCTGCTAACCCAAGCACAGGTTTGACGATTTGCAAGGAGATTTAGTATGCCCAGTGCCTTACATGTGTAGAAAATCCTAAAAAAGAAGCTTTTTGATGTTGGAGAAAATCCTGCCAATGACAGGATCACCGCAGTTCCAGGGTTCAGAGCAGTGCCAAACAGCATATGCACTCAGTAAGTATATGTTGAATGAATGGAACGGTCGGGATTGTTCATCAAACGAGTGTGGGAGGGTAGCCATTGCTTTGCTTCCCTGGAAGGTACAGGTCGGAGGAGGTCGGAGTGAAGCAGCAGAGGAGGAAACTGGGAAGGTAGGAGGAGAGGATGTCTTACCAGGATGATGCAAAGCCATGGGTCAGGAAAGCGGGAGGGGTGGAGATGTGGTGGTGGAGGTGGATGTGGTGGAGGAGGTGAAGGTGGAGATTCCGGTGGAGGGGAGTTGGAAGTGGCGGTGGAGGTGGCAGGAGAGTTGATGCTGGTGGTGGCTGTGGCAGTGGAGATGATGATGGGGGTTTGTGGGAAAGAGCAAGTAGAAAACATAATTTTGGGTCCAGCACATCTGTTAAAAATCTGCATCTACTACTTATAAGCTCTATGACTCCTGAATCTGTAAGGTGGTGATAATAAAATACTAAGGCTTTCGGGTTGTTGTGTGAGGACAATACAATAACCAAAGCATGATTGCATAGCGATTACCAGGTCATGGATCTTTACTGACAGGTAGTTGTCAATACATTTTCCTTTTTAAAATATTATTTCTCTTTTTCTTGTTGTATATGTTCATGAACTTAAATGCTAGTCTGTGACATGCAGCTATTTTTTAAAATAAAGTTTTATTTCTTTTTAAAGCTTTGTTTCTTTACTTATTTGAAAGGCAGAATGAGTGAGAGAGAGATCTTCCATCCCTTGGCTCACTCCCCCAGTACCTGTAACAGCTGACGCTGGGCCAGGATGAAGCCAGGGACTCTGCAGGGGCCACGTGGTCCTTGAGCCATCATCTGCTGCCTGTCAGGTGCACTAGCAGGAAGCTGCATCAGAAGTGAAGCACTCTGATATAGGATATGGGTATCAAAGCAGTGACTTAACGCTCTGCGCCACCATGCCCACCCCTCTTCAGTTTTCAAATCGGTAAAGCCGCCCACAGTTAAAAATTTAGCAACTTATTTGTCTTTTTCCATTGAGGCTTTTTGAAATTTTTCTACATTTTGCAAAATGAACTTGAATCTCTGCCATAGTCTGAATAGTCCCCTCACCCCCAATTTCCTTTTGCAACCTAATAGCCATCACGGTGGTATTAAGAGAAGGGGGAAGTGATGAGGATGTCGCAGGACTTTGCCCGTGGGTTGGATTAATGCCCTTGAAAAAGATGCAGGAGGGATTGAGTGCCGTGCCCTCTTCTGCTACATAAAGATACGGAAAAGAGACCATCCACAGGAACAGGCTCTCACCAGACCTCAGATCTGCTGATGTCCTGATCTTGGACTTCCTAGCTTCTGGAACCATGAGAAATAAATTTCCATTATTTATAAACTACCCGATGTGTGGTGTTTTGTTATAGGAGCAAGAATAGACTAAGACTCATTTATTAGGAACAAATGCTGGGGTCGGCACTGTGGCGTAGCAGGTAAAGCCGCCGCCTGTAGTGACGGCATCCCATATGGGCGCTGGTTTGAGTTCCAGCTGCTCCACTTCCAATCCAGCTCTCTGCTATGGCCTGGGAAAGCTGTGGAAGATGGCCCAAGTGCTTGGGGCCCTGAGCCCGCTTGGGAGACCCAGAAGAAGCTCCCGGTTCCTGGATTCGGAATGGCCCAGCCCTGGTCGTTGTGGCTATCTGGGGAGTAAACCAGCAGATGGAAGACTGCTTTCTCTCTCTCTCTCTCTCTCTCTCTCTCTCTCTCTGTTTCTCTTTCTCTCTCTGGTTCTGCCTCTCTGTAACTCTGCCTTTCAAATAAATAAATAAATCTTTAAAAAAAAATAAGTGCTATAAACCTTATTATTGGAATGGTTAAGCACAAGGCGGTATATATCTTTACATAAAGAAATTTCTTTATGTAAAGAAATACCATCAGTAAAATTTATAGAAGTATTTTCATGATGTCGTATTTTCAGAAAAGCATGAACACAACTTTTTCAAATATGCAAAAATCATGAGGAAAAGCATGATTGAGATGCAAAATGTTGAAATATATGAAGAGAAAGTTTATAAAATGGTTATTTTTCTCATTGTGCTTTTCCATTTTTTTCCTGAAATTTTCATTAGTGGAGCATACATAGACTATCTTAATAATTTAAAAACAAGATAAATGTTGCATGTAAATAAATGATGAAAAGCTTAACAGCTGTTTTATCTTTCAGAAAATAGAAAACAAAAGTAATTTTTTAGTTACACTGCTCTAAAGTTTGTGGTTAATTGCAATGTAAGAAATGGCACTTAAAACACAAGTTATTGGGGCTGGTCTTGTGGTGCGGCAGGTTAAGCTGCCGCCTATGTTGCTGGCATCACATGTGAGAGCTGGTTGGAGTCCTGGCTGCTCTTCTGATCCAGCTCCATGCTAATGCACCTAGGGAAGCATTAGATGTTGCCCAAGTTCTTCAGTACATGTGGGAGACCTGGATGGAGTTCCTGTCTCCTGGTCTTGACCTGGTGCAGCCCTCGCTGTTAAGGCCGTTTGGGAAGTGAATCAGTTGAAGATTCTTTCTCCCTGTCTCTCACTCTGCCTTTCAAATAAATAAATAAAAATTTTAAAAACCCATTTGGAAAACATTATGCTAAGTGAAATAAGCCAGTCCCAAAGGGACAAATATCATATGTTCTCCCTGATCGGTGACAACTAACCGAGCACCAAAAAGGAAACCTGTTGAAGTGAAATGAACACTATGAGAAACGGTGACTTGATCAGCCCTTGCCCTGACTGTTGATGAACAACTTAATACGTTATCCCTCTTAGTATTTTTTTGTTTGTTCTACTTAATACTTTTGGTTGAATACTGTAATCAATACACAGTTATTCTTAAGTGTTGAAACTTAACTGAAAAGTGATCGCTGTTAAATATAAGAGTGGGAATAAGAGAGGGAAGAGATGTGCAATCTGGGACATGCTCAGGCTGACTTGCCCCAAAGGGTAGAGTTAGAAACATACCAGGGGATTCCAATTCAATCCCATCAAGGTGGCATATACCAATGCAATCTCACTAGTCCAAGTGATCAATTTCAGTTCACAATTGATCATAATGATAGGACTAAGAGCCAAAGATATCACATAAACAAGACTAGTGTCTGCAAATACTAGCTGATAGAATCAAAAAGGGAGAGAACGATCCAACATGGGAAGCGAGATACACAGCAGACCCATAGAATGGCGGATGTCCTAAACAGCACTCTGGCCTCAGAATCAGCCCTTAAGGCATGCGGATCCGGCTGAAAAGCCCATGAGAGTATTTCAGGCATGGAAAGCCAAGACACTCTGGCAAAAAAAAAAAACAAAAAAAAAAAAAAAAAAAAAAAAAAAAAAAAAAAACAAAACCAACCTAAATGAAAGATCTCTGTGAGTGAGATCCCAGTGGAAAGAACGGGCCATCAAAGAAGGAGGTACCTTTCTCTGAAGGGAGGAGAGAACTTCCACTCTGACTACGACCTTGCCTAAATATGATCAGAGTTGGTGAACTCAGGGGGCTTCCATAGCCTTGGCAGCTCATGACAAGAGCCTAGGGTGATTACTGATGCCATAAACAAGAGTGTCAATTTGTTAAGTCAACAACAGGAGTCACTGTGCACTTACTCCTCATGTAGGATCTCTGTCCTTAGTGTGCTGTACATTGTGATTTAATGCTATAAGTAATACTCACACAGTATTTTTCACTTTGTGTTTCTGTGTGGGTGCAAACTGTTGAAATCTTTACTTAATATATGCTAAACGAATCCACCACATATAAAGAGAATTGAAAATGAATTGTGATGTGAATGAAAGGGGAGAGGGAGCAGGAAAAGGGAGAGTTGCGGGTGGGAGGGAAGTTATGGGGGGGGGGAACCATTGTAATCCATAAGCTGTACTTTGGAATTTTATATTCATTAAATAAAAGTTAAAAAATATATGCCCCAGACGCACAACAATAAAAAAAAACCATTAAAGGAGGCTATTTATTCTTCTTAGATGGATCTTCTTTGGCATAAAGACTGATACATAACCAGGTTTAAACTCTCAAGGGAGAACAAGTTGGTAGGGCCCCATTTGAGGGTGGCTGTTCTGAATATTTCCTAGAATATCGTGAATATGAGTCATTTTCTCTGGATGATTATAATTGACACTAATCCTGAATTAGACGGGTTTCTAGCAAGTCCAATAGCCAATTTAATAGTTAATAGTTCTACATTGAATTTAGATATGCTGGCATAACAGTATTCATTTTTAAGGGAATGATATACATGAGGAGAGGTCAGAAAAACATTTTTGTAGAGTCCAGAATTCCTGTTAGAACCTTGGCCATGCCCTCTCATGGTGTCAGTGTATCACTACTGAGTCACTTGCAAGAGATTGAATTCAACATAAAATATGTTGGCTTATAGATATTGAAAGGAATCGTCTGTTTTTATCTTAGAAATGGTGCAATAGGAGGGAGTTGTCAGACAAAAGGGAAAAGATCAGAAAAATATGCGCGAAGACAAGTGTCCCAATGGACACAGGTATTGAAATTATTGCTAGAATGTGATTAGTCACTCAAGAGTCTGAATAAAAGATGACCATCTCTACAGTGAAAACTACTTAAGTTCAGAAACGAAAGAATTCATCAAACAAGCAACAGACTTCATGCTAAGTACTAAAAATTAAATACCTCAGCGTGGAATGTGAATTGAAATAGACACAGCACAATAATTCACAGAATTTCCTGAATATTTCATGTGTGGTACAATGAATAAAAACTAATGATATGGCCGGCGCCGTGGCTCAATAGGCTAATCCTCCACCTTGTGGCGCCGGCACACCAGGTTCTAGTCCTGGTCGGGGCGCCGGATTCTGTCCTGGTTGCCCCTCTTCCAGGCCAGCTCTCTGCTATGGCCCGGGAGTGCAGTGGAGGATGGCCCAAGTGCTTGGGCCCTGCACCCCATAGGAGACCAGGATAAGCACCTGGCTCCTGCCTTCGGATCAGCGCGGTGCGCCGGCTGCAGTGCGCCGGCT